GAGGCACTTTACTAGGTCTAGTATATTTTTTTAATAGCCTCTGAACTGAGCTTAAAACTGACGATTTTATGGAATGTCAGCAAAATGACTATTTTATTGTTTGATGCACTATTTTAGTTGTCCTTAGTTATATTCTAATTCCAGGTGAATCAATTATAAGCATTAAGAAGTGAAATTTAGTTCTTTTCAGTATTAATTTGGGTGGGTATTCCCTCCTTGTGGCTCGTTTCCGTCCTAACTGGAGGTGTAAAATGCAGTCTGTAGCAGGTAGAATACAGCTCCTTTTATGTACCAGATCTTTTATTACTGAACTAGCAACTAGCCTTTTTCACCTTTAAAAACTGTGCCAAGTCATAATCATATTGTGTATACACTTGGAGATGGTGCTGTTTAAAAAAATATTTATACAGTATGATTGCATTTCTCTTCATGCCCCCAACTTCCCATTTCCAGTTTTTTTTTTCTTTTAAAAAAAAAAAAAGTTTAGTTGCCAGTAGACCTTTATTTTACTTATATGTGGTGCTGCGAATAGAACCCAGTGCCTCGCAAAAGTTGGGGAATGCTCTACCACTGAGCCACAAACCCAGCCCACCACCCATTTTCAGTTCTTCACAAATATTATAGAGCAGTGCTCAAGCTCATCCTGAGTTGCTCAATTTCAGGATTCCTAAATATTGTGAAGGAAAGCTTACTGTAGCCATTATCCCTCAAACTAAAACACAAGATGAGAAAACTAATGTAATAACATGGAGTGGAATCTTCAGTACAGGTTATCTGGCTTCAGATATTGGCACACTAGAATTGGCACTGATCAAAATAACTGCTGGGGATTGCAGAGAAGAAACACAGCTCCCCTCCATGTTCCCAGTCTTCATAGAAGACCCTCATATGCTTCTGGAACCCTGCCAGCTATCAGTGAGAAACCTGATTCATAGGCAAAGGTTTCTAATCATGACCTTACTTCCAAGATCATTTAAATTCAACATGCTGCATGCCATACTATGTTATGTAGATACCTACCCCTGAAGACAGATGTACACGGCAAATAACGAAGTGAATTAAGATGAACGCATGAACACAACTATATGAAAATACCACCAAGAGATTAAGTACGTAAAGCTACCAGTAGGCAGATTTAGTTAGGGTATTAGGAGCCAGACTCCTTTGGTATTAAAACAGCTAACTTCCTCCATAGCAAATTGACTTGATCTGGAACACTCATTTGAAGGCATAACAGAGGCTGAGGTAAACCATACTGGGTGGCTGTGAGCCCTTTTGGAACCGAGGGGGGAGGGGTAGACAGGCAAGCTGTTTTTTCTTTTTTTTTAAACCAAGAAAACAATCCACTGGTAAGTCTAACTGCAGATCTGACTGGGCCTAAGTTTAAGTAGCTTAATAAAACCACTAATTACTTGTTCTGTTCTTTTGTAGAAGATATACAATTTAAATAAGCTTTGTTTTATGCAGGTCAACATGAAGTTGGTACTTCCCTGGCTGCTCTGCTTTACCTTTTCAAAATGGTCACTCACTATAGGGCTGGGGCTGTAGCTCAATGGCAGAGCGCCAGGCACCCTTTGATCCTAGGCACTGCATAAAAATAAATATTAAAGGCATGCTGTCCATCAACAACTAAAAAAAGGCGGGGGGGGGGGTCCAACATCAGTATAAACAAAGCAGTGCATTTTTCCAGGCCAAAAGGCCTAGACAAGTGACCAAATCAATTTGGCTGCTTTGAATTTTTTTTAAGCCAAATTATACTGTTCCAAATTATACATGTTCAAGCAGGTGATACTGACATACCCTTGATACAAGAGAAATCACTGTGATGAGATGTAAATGACAATCTGCTTCCCCCCCCCCTTATTGAGATCTGTTTTAACCCAGGGTCGCCCATAACAAGCTCTACAGCTGAACTACTCAGCCCACTCATTCAGTGCTCTGACATTATTTTACCAGAACTTGGAACACTAAGCATGGAGTTTGTTGTAAAGTTCCAAAGCCTGGAGAGTATTGGGAAAGGTCTCCTTAGAATTAGTTGGCTGGCCATTATATTAATCCATTTAAAGTACCCCATATCTCATACACCCCTGCCCTAGCAAATCTGCCTCAGTTTTACAGCTAACATTGAAATACTGGGAGCTAAAATATGAAGAGAATACCGCCCAATGAGATCTCCACCCTCAGGCCTTTTAAAAATGCAGAAGCCACTGAACATGGGCGCCTCCTAGTACAGTGAGTGGGTTGGTTGTTTAACATCTTAACAGTGTGTGAGCAGAGAGGATCAGAGTCCAGAATAGCAGAAACCCAAGTGCTGGATCACAAAGCAACAGCATCATCAGACTCCTCTGCCCTTCCGCTGTGCTCAGTTCTGATTCCCAGGACAAAGAAACCCTGGGAGAAGGATGTCTGGGAAATGGTCCAAGCTGAAGGGATAGGTTTGCAAACTGGCCTTGAAACCTGTTATACATGCTTCTATGACTCACCTAAACAAGTCTGATAAAATGTATCTTGACTGGGACTTATCTATGACGTCATATTTACAATTTTGTTTTACAGTAACAAATTCATAGCAGGTCATTGCCCCAGATAATCACTGATCTTTTTATGAAAGAAAAGATTCTCACAGAAGAGCTTTTAAGACTTCCACATGTTTCATACACCAGAAATGAAGTGTTTAAAACTGATCACTGATAACAGAAAAGCTGCATCTGATTAAGTCAAAAAGCATCAACAGTCCCTCTTCTGGCCTTGTAACTGTACCAACAGGAACTCTCAACAGTGCTCAGTAACAATCAAATTTCCCATGCCCACAGCCACTAAAATTTAGTAAATAACATTCTCTAAGGAGTTTCAGTTAAGAAAGGAGGGCACTTTATAGGAAATGTCCTAGCTGCATTTGCTTTCTGTGTTATATTTAAGGTTGTTTTCTATTTTCTTTGATACTGAACATTGAGACATTTAATGGCACTGATACAAACTCAAGCAAAATAAACTTCAGCTGAATATGCAAACTTACCATTATATAACACTTTATGATCACAAATCAACACTAAAACAAATTCTGTAAGTATTTTATTTATCACTGAAGAAAAAACACAGCAGCAAGTTCTGTGTTGGCTTCAATAAGACCAAATAGTTAATCTTTAACATAGCTACTACACTCCAAAAATTGAAGTCAACACAGTCATTACTACAAATTACTTGTTGAAAGAATCTATTCTGAAGAGAAAGGAAATTAGGAAAAAGAATTTAAAGAATTCCTCCAAATCACACATTTATAAATATTGTCATATTTAAAATGCTTGAAAGGCATGAAATCTCCATTAATGGAAAAGCAGTTCGCTATTGGCAACAGAAAAAAACAGCGATAGTTTACCAAATGCTTTAAAATTTAAAAGCTGTACTGTTTTGGGTTTGCACTTGAACAGTATTGTCATTACAATAATGACTGCAAATTGCTTTATACTCACCTCTTCTTAAGTAAAATCTACAGAAAATCCCACTGTATCCAATGTCTGTAATATTTACTGCACTTAGAGTGAACCTAAAAACTGCCTAAATTTAGTTAATAGTAAATACCTCAAAATACCTAAAGAGGTATGTTTCAACCGCTAATGGTGTGAAAATTGTTTCAGATCCACTGGTTTAAAGGGTCTTCGAATACATTTTAACAAAAGCTTAATACCTCATTCCAAATTAATATCAGATATTTCAAAATCAAACAAAAAAATATCAGTTCTATACCAAGATACAGGTGTTACTCCATACCCGATGGGTTCACATTTTAAATTTATTTTTTAGTTTTTCTCTTTTGTAAACAAGTGATTGATGAAATAATGCAACACCTTAAATTCCAGAAAATGGCATGGTTTTCCAACCTTCTGTGGATACGGTGCATGATCAATCTATTATATAGGATTAATACGAGTTCATGCTTTTTGTGTTATGGTGAAACAACATTAAAGAATCCAATTTAGATTGGTTGAAGAACAAGTATAATAATCCTTGAATGTGATCAAACCTATGTAAGACACGAGTCTGAATCCACCATCTTGGGACTTAACGTCGTACTGTGGTCCATCCATCTTCATCAGT